TGAGGTTAAATAAAAATTACGATGATAATTGAAGATCACGAAATATTACTGTTATATTATAATTATATTGTACCCTATATAGATAGATTACTTTTATTATATTTAGTTTGTTTGGTTCTATTTAATTAGAGAATATCTCACATTGAGAGATGTCGAATCTTATTGAGTGTTATTTAGTTTATTTAACATGGTATCAGAGCCGATTTAATTTTATTGGTTAAACTTGTAAGCTTTTTGTTCTCTAACGAGTGGCCTCGTGCCGTTCGTCCGATTAAATTTTCTTGTTCCCGTTCAGTTGTCTTGGCAATATTTTTTTTACTAAATATGGTAAAAGTAATCTATCTATATATGGTACAATATGATTATAATATAACCGTAATATTCCGTAAGGTTAAATAAAGATTACAAAGATCATTGAAAATTACGAAATATTATATATATATATATATTACTTTTACCATATTTAGTTTGATTTTGTTCTATTTAATGAGATAACCTCTCACATTGAGAGGCAGCGAGTCTTATTGAGTATTATTCAATTTATTTAACAGGTTTTGCATTTTCAAACAATGGGATGAGTTTCCAAACATCATTGTTACTCATGAACTTTATCTTTTTACTCATGGCATCAATCCATTCTTCAGAATTTTTCTTTTGCATTGCATGATGAAAGTTGATTGATCAGGTCTTTTTCCACTAATACAATACCATCCTTATCTTTTGGATGAAAACTATAAAAATATCCGAACTGCCTTTCTCTTTTCTTTAGTGGATTTCCTTAATGACATTCATTCTTGAGTTTATTTTTCTGAAACAATCTTTTGATTGTGTATAAGAGATTGTATAATATTATCTTGATCCGAAATTGTTTCTTGAACAAGTTTTGGAGCAAGAATTTGTCTCTGGTTCATATCATAGTCAATTGCAACAAAAGGAATATTTATATACTTCTTCTCAAAGACAAAATCTCTAACCTTATCCCTCCGACACAAACTCTACATCCTCAAAGAACTGGGCGTTTCCCATTCAAAAATTGACTTAATAGTGGGATCTTTAAAATTTGTAATCTCTTACCAATTGCTTTACTTGAAACATTATTGTAAATCCCAAGGTGTAGTCTTTAGTGTTTCAACCTAGAGAGATTCTGGTATAGTGTGGCATGACTAATCTTATGCCTTACCTTGTCCTTAAGCATTCTGTTTCGTCTTTCAACAACACCGTTCATGCTAGGAGAACCTGGCATGGTATAGAGTGCAACATTTCCGCAGCCCTCTTGGAATTTAGCAAAAGGCATTGGATGATGTTCACTTGATCTATCATGTCTGTCATAGTATTCACTCCCACTGTCAGATCTAACATGTTTCATTCTTTTATCAAGTTGGTTTTCAACTTTAGCCTTGTAAGTTTTGAACATGTCCAGTGAGTGATTGGGATTTCTCATGATGAGATATAGGTAGCCATGGCGAGAATAATCATCTATAAACGTAATAAATGACTGTAGACTATTCTAGGAAGTCGAAGGAAATAGCCTACGGATATCTTTATGAATTACTTCTAAGATGTTCGAAGTTATGTTGGCACCTAATCTCTTTACATTTGAATGTTTCCCCTTAATACAATTTACTCAAACACTTACGTCTGAAAAATCAAGGCGAATCAAGAATTCATTTTGATACAAGATTTTTCATTCTCTTTTAAGAGATGTGATCTGATCACTTATGTCATAACAAGGCGAAATTCTCATTGGTTAATTTATATTTAACACTGTATGAATTAATATGCAATGTTTCTTTATAAGAGGCAATCGTATTAAGCAGATACAGATTATCATACCTGGATAAAGGACTGGTACTCATAATATTTGAATTAAGAAAAAGACTAAACTTACTATTTCTAATTGAAGAAAAGTAACTGAATTTGTTCAATGTAGAAACAGAGACCAAATTGTATTTGACTTTACATGCCAAGCATGGTATTTAGTACAATTACTCTTCACGTGTCCCAGATTTTTCCAAAGTTAATAGTTAGATGATTCATCCATTTCAGGCATTTGCTGTTTCTTTTGAATCGAATCGGATGCAGCTTTCTTATTCTTTAACTTGTCCTTTGAGATACTTGCCAAGAGAGAACTGGATGTTGGTAGATATTGTAGAAATAAATTGATTAATCGAATAGAAAACCCAAACCTAAATAACATGTTCACATGGAACCCATATAGGAAAATCAATAATTTCAAATAATGGGGACCCCATTACAAGAGATCGAGCACAATATTGATATTCAGTCTTTGGACAGAAATATCAACTTATAAGTGATACTCTTGGTGTAGTAAATATTGACAATAAATCCGTTCAAACATCAAGTCTATTTTTGGATCGAATCAATGTTCACATAATGAAAAACTTTACAATCGCCACATATTTATTATCACAAGTACGTAAATAATTCTGCCAAATATTGACCTTCTTTTGGGCTGATGAATATCCGCATGAATTACGTACACAAAATCTTCCTAATATTCCAAATAAATTAATTTAGGCAAGAAATGTTATTTTGGTAACATGTACTTTAATTAATTTATTTTAGAAAATAAGTAATCCAAAAGAAACTTTAACACCAAAATTTGAATTTGATTGCCATTTACCTTTTAATTTTTAATTATTCTCTCCCTTTTTTATTTGTTTCAAAAAAAGAAAGAAACAGAAATATACAGACACACACCATTAAGGCAATGCACCATTAAAGCACAGAACCCCGTCGTCAACTAATGGTCACACTGGTTGACTTTCAAAGTAGATAGAATGGTGGTTTATTTTGAAATCCCCACAATTACTCGTATCACCAAAAAAGCCACCATAATAATTAATAAGAATGAAAAGACTGTGCGTATACTTTATCATTCACATAGACAAAATTGCTATCATAAGTTTCAAAACTTTTTCTTGAGTTGAATCCGAAATAGAACATAAAGTAATCAATTGTAACCATATTCAAATTCAACAATCAATCCCCAAAATTGTCAAATTTGAAATCATCCAAAAAAAATCTAAAATTCAAAATCTAGGGCAAAAATTCGCATCCCAAAATTTGAAAATCCAAAGTAGGAATTTCGACCCTAAAATTATTTCTTCAATATCAGTGGTTTAACATAGAGTTGAATCTGATACCACTTGTTGAAATTTTATGAAACTTTAAATATTAATAGCATGAAAATCTAATTACTTTATTTCCAAGATCTTTCATGTCTAATCACAACAAAAATTAATAATGCGGAACATTTCTTAATTTCTTAGGAATGTTTCTTTATTACTGAATCCTGATTTCAGATTTTGAATCTTCAAAATCAACTTGGAATCCCTTCTTGATTGGGTTATTGTTTTCAATCTTGAATTCTTTGATTCTTGTTCTTGGTTTTACTTCTTGATCCATAATCTTAATTCTTTATTATAGATTACCTATTCTTGATTGAGGGTTCGGGATCTTCCTCTTCAATATGTATTCTCTCTAAATTCTTGTGTTGATGGGATAATACAAAAAATGAGAAGTTGCATATGAATTGAGAATCATAACCCTATATATAGTTTTTATATGTATTTCGCCCATCATGAAATATAATTAAAAAGAAACCCGGCATCTACAAATATAATCCGACCCAAACTCTATTTAGATGCCCTAAAGCCAATTACTTAATTCTTTATTAAATCACTTTAATTTTGGGCTTAACTTTAAAATAACTTTTATATACAATTAAGTAAATATGTCAGCCCAATGGCAAATTAAATAATTTCGCAACAGATTGTAGCCAGAAAGTTTTTTTTTTTTTTTTTTTTTAATAGAGGCTTGGTCAACATGAAATCCAAAGATGGCATGAGCGGATCAAAATATTTGAAATATTTTCAAAACGCCATCAATCAGCTGAAAAGTGGAAACTATGGGTATAACTCTTGAAGATGAATTGTAGACTGCTTGTTACTTGATCAATAGATTTCTTTCTTTTTTGGGTTTTGATTTTTTATATTCCAGAAAGAGTTTGGACTTTGGACTGGATCGGAGAATTTTGGTGTAAATTTAGGGATCCAGAGAAAAAGAAGATTGTGAGAATCAATTGTGTGATTTTTTTTATGAATACCGGACAATTGAGATTTTTAAAAGTTCAATAACCCCATGAAAATTTTTTGCAAATTTCAGTAATGACTTTAGTGATTTTTAAACTTCAATGACCCCTGAAAACTTTTTGCAAAGTTTAATGACCATTTGGTTATTAATCCCAATCTTTTTTTTTTGAGTTAATTACCCAAATGGTCACTGAACTTCACAAAAAGTTTTTATGGGGTTACTAAACTTTAAAAATTATCTCATTCAACTTAAACTTTACAAAAACTACCTCAGGGGTCACTGAGTTGAGAAAGTTTTGTAAAGTTCAGTGACCCTATGGAAGTCTGTTGAAAAGTTAAGTATTGAATGTAATGATTTTTAAAGTTCAGTAACCCGGTATAAACCTTTTGCAAAATTCAGTGATGATGTAGGTAATTTTTAAAATTTAGTGACTTGGTAAATTTTTTTTGCAAAGTTCAGTGATCATTTGGATTATTAACCGCCTTTTTGTGCATAAATCTCATCAAAATATAGTCGAGTACCCGGTCATTTGCAAAGAAATTTGTGTGGTGAGTTTATTAATTTTTCACTTAACTTGAATATAATTGTATTTTTTTTTCTTTTCTTATATATCAAGAATTAAGTTTTTACATTTTGTTTACTTTATTTTTGTATGTATGTGCATGGAAATAATCATTTATTTTCGATTCGTTTAGTTTGTTTTAATCAAAACTTGAATTTTAAAAATACAATGTTGTCAACTTTTTGTGACATATTTTAGTCTATTTTATGTAATCTTAACTCAAAACTGCTAAATCCCTAAATGTAACTTGTGGCAGTGATAAAAATAGTGTTCGTAATGATTGGTTATAATATAATTTGTAAGACTAATAGTATGTTAGTAATCATTTGGAACATTTTTTCGCCTTATTATTTAATTTTATATATATNGGAAGGAATATGTTAAGGTTAAGAAGTTTAAGTCTTATGGCTGTGCACAGACAAATTGCAGCTTCTACTTCCAGCAATCCTTGAATAACTGGGCAGCATATGTTTTGCACTGGATCTCCTATCCCAACATGAACTAAACCTCCAAGAACGTCAAGGCACAGCCCTAGTTTTAGTGCATTTATCGGACAAGTAGCAGCCGAAGGGGGGCTGAAGCCTGGAACACCTCCTCCGGGGGGACCTCCGCTGCCTGGTGGCGTATAGGGTGGGTAGCCAGAAGAAGGTGGAGGCCTTGTTACCGGGGGTAATATGCCAGGAGGGTTAATTATAGGGGGGATAATGCCAGGAGGGTGTGTTATGGGGGGGATAATGCCAGGAGGGTGTGTTATGGGGGGGATAATGCCTGGAGGGTGTGTTATGGGGGGAATAATGCCTGGAGGGTTCGTAATCGGAGGTGTTACAACAGGCGGTGTCACAATAACAGGTGGATTGTTTATAGGAGGCAACACTTTTGGTGGTGCTCCTTGAGGTGGGGGTTTGGTAAAGGGTGGATGTGGGCGAGGAGTTTTTGGAGGCAATGGTCTAGGAACTGAAGGGGGATGTCGTGGGTTTCGAGGAGTCGAGGGAGGGTGCGGTCGGGGGGTCGATGGCGGATTTGGCCGTGTTGACGGTGGGCTAGGACGATGGTACGGAGGATAAGAAGGTGGGCAAGTTCCGCAAGCATAGGCAGGTGGCAATGCAATAAACATGCAAATCATGCATATCAAGAAAATTGCATGAACCCTAGAACCCATGGTTTTTTAGGGTTCCCAATTGAATTCCAATATTCTTCTTGACTTTCTGGTAAGGGTTTCATATTTTATAGCTGAAATGTATGAACAACCCGTGAGGGGTTGGATAGAAATGGTAAGAAATGTGCAAATATTTAAATTCATAAACTGGGAAATTGATTGTGAAATTTTTGTATTGTTGTTGGTACTTCGCAAACTTCAAGACTAATCCGTGACCGAAGTTCAGTCCGTGAACGGGTCTTTCATGTCACAAAAAGTAAAGTTTACACAGATTTTCTAAGTTTCTACATGCGACATTATTGTCTTCTCTCTCTTTTTTTGGTGGACAATCACAATGTTATGTAGTAGGTTGTTTTATATTGCCAATTTGCCACCACATTTTCTCTCAATGCACAACTTCTTAATTGCACTAAAAGTCTTTAAATTTTGCTTATTTTTATGTCATTACTTTTTTTTTTTGTCAAATTAATTTAAATAGTACATATAATATCTCATGATGGTTTCTATTCAAATATTTTGTCAGTAATTTGTGTTTTTTTTATTATTATTATTTAAAAGGTAAGAGTATATAAATCTTTTTACACCCTCCTATCAGACTTTTTGAAAAGAACTCGCAATCATGAACAAATTGTGCTAATTCAAATAAGGTTGAAGGTAACAATAAAATAAAAAAATAGCTGAGATGTGTACGACAGTGAGCAAAAGTTGAAAAGACCTTCAGCACAACTAAAAAGTAGTGTTACAAAAGTATGACCAGGCTATGAATTTTCAAACTTGAGTTAAGATCGTAGTATTTCAAAATATTTTTCAATCAATGAGTATGAATGTGATGAAAAGCAAGAGAGATTCTATAATCGGCATGTAGTAACGAGTATGAGTAGGGTAAACCTTCTATACAACTAAAAGTAGTGCTACAAAAGTATGACCAAGCTATGAATTTTCGAACTTGAGGTAAGATTATAGTATTTCAAAATATTTTTCAATCAATGAGTCTAAATGTGATGAAAAGCCAGAGAGATTCTATAATCGGCATGTAGTAACAAGTATGATAGGGTAAATGAAGAGTAACTTCTTTAGCTTTTATTCTATAATCTCATTTCCGGACATGGTAAACTTTTCGTTGCGTCTTTAGCTAGAGCGTGGAAGTTAAGGCGGAGCTCCCTTCTAAGTCTGTATTATGTTTTTATTTTTGTTATCAATGAAGTATCTATTTTTCTTATACAAAAAGGAAAAGAAAATGTGTTTAACAAATAAAAATTGTGATGTCTATATAGAAAATATTGCACAGTAATGACCATTATAAAAACACTTCATCTTTTTTTTTTTTTGAAATTATGGAAAAATTGAATTTTGAAAGATATATACTACGAAATAAAACCCTTTTCTTTTTTCTTTCTTTTTTTTCTATCTTTTCTTATTTGAAAAGCAAAACGTAGATCTACAAATTTAGTTTCAAGAAAAGAAAATAAGTTTATTTTTTGCTTTTTATTAGATTTGTTGATTTCATGATAATTTCTATACTTTTTATTTCTTGTACTCAGTAGCATTATCATCCCTTGATTGACTCCCATTAAAATAAAACTCTTATTTCTGATACTCATTTTCAACTATACATTCATAAACTCAAAATTTTTCCTACTTTTTAATCACATATTCTCCAAAAAAATCACTATTTAGAATTTCATTTTTCTCAATTTCACTTTATAATGGCAATCAAACAAGAGCTTAATACGTTAAGTTTTGAAAAATGAAGTACTTTTACCATGATGACAGAAAATTTCAAAATACAACAAAGTTCCACTATTAGAGTTCCTTTCGGGGGGGAAAATAACAAAAATAAAATTCAAAGTTTGAGCATCTTATTTTCCCTTTTTCTAGTCAAAGTTTTAGATTTTTTTTTTTCTCAATTTAAAAATTAAAGTTTAACAAAATGTTATCCGAGATATAATCACTTTCTACAAAAGGAGGG